TCTAGACATCTTTAGTGAACGGATATCATTCAAGAATTAGATTTTTTTTAATTAACACAGTATTTAACAGAAGTTGTTTATGTAATATTGGGTAAGGAAGTGTATACATTCTGGGTAATGTTTAAGTGAACAAAAAATAACCAAGTCATGCAAACGAAATTACTTAATCTGCCAGGTATTTGGTGAACTGATGCGAATACGTAAAATACTTTAAATAAAACACTTTGTCAACGTCCTCAACTGCAAAACGTTAGTAAAGAAAGTTCCACACAAAAATCAAAATGCTTGACTCGTTATCCACCCCACAACAAGCACATCTTGATCACATGATTACAACATGAAGATAATCAGTCAATAAGCATTCCAAAACATATTACATTACAAACGAATTCCAAGCTTTCTGAAATAAAAATGTGTGTGAACCAATATGGAGATAATTAGAATAGGAGTTTATTTAGATTGCAGAGATTTATAGTTTACATAACATGATACTAGCTGCATAAATCTTTAGAATAAGGAACCGTGGGGCGGCTGTTTCGATCTAGAATGGAACTACCCGTCAGGGAGTATTCACGACCCCACCGAGGACTGAACTCAAGACCCCCAGATCTGAAGGCAAACGCCCAACATCAGACTACTGAGTCTGGATTCAGAAGTATACATCACCGGCTATAATCGAACCTTGATATTACGCGAACACCTTACAATGTCATCGGTGGATAAATGTCAGACACCCTACAAGGTTGAATTAAATATCTCACTAGAACACGGAGAATAATCTGTCGCAATCAGCCACTAGTGATGAACGAAGACTTAATAGTATAAAGCTTTAAGCTGAACACTAAGCCCGTAGGCCCTCAGTTCGATCTAAAGTGAGATGGTGGGTGCCCGCTTCTGAGGAGCCCCGTACCATCATAAAACAGCTGTCCGGTGCTTGATGGTTTCACTGGTTATCTAGATGAGGTCAGTCAGTTATGTAAAAAATGTGAAATAGTTTACACTACAAATTAGCTTTAGCTACATTACTGTTGAACCAATTCTTTCTTCCTGTATTATATCCTTATACACAATCTTTCTTTTATATATTACTACCATTGGAGTAACTACTATGAATTTGGTGTTCATCTTGTTGTGCTAATGAGGTATAGCAACTTGGACCGATGCACGTATGTGCCTGGTCTTACGTTGTAGCTGACTGACTGACACTACTTCTGAAAACCAGAAAACACATGATGTCTAGGACGAAAGAGTTTCTTTCTCCGATCTTCAACGGTTGTCTAGCTAAGCCAGTTTATGGTGTTAACTACCATTAAAGTCTTCACAATCCCTCGATCCTAATGAAAAGACAATATATTGGATATGGAGAATAAATTCGTAATTCATTATTGCTTGATATCTGTAGTTTGTAAAGAACCTATGATTGATTAATGAAATGTGTTGAGCCTATAACAAACAAATGATCACCATTGCTGTCCTAAGTATTTCATATACGTCAGGAAAAAAATGGGAATCATGTAAGCTGGTGAACTGCTAGAATGAAACGATGGAGAGAGGTGGTTGTATGCTTTCACTCTATCTGATGTGTTTGTATACAGAGCTTGCAGTAAGTATGGCGTAACGCCGGAATTTCATAGAGGGTGAAAATTATAACCAATAAATAAACAACCAGGACGAAAGCCGGTCTGCTTCTCGCAAGTCAGTCTTTTATATGTTTCAGTGTGAGTTATAACGGAAACCAATAGTTCTGAATCGATTGAAAGTAAACTTATTCTGGATCTTTGTAGAATAGATGACTTAAACCCAGTTTAAGGACTAGGACTACTGTCGCTTGATTTTAGGATGGCAGAACACTCTCTACTTCGTAAATCTTTCCAAACAATCTAGTTGGTTCCCTGAACAAGAAGCTCGCCAGAGTGAGTCGTTCGGACCTGACGATTTGTGACGCTCCGGAAGTTGGGATTCCTAGGCGGCCACCTCTCCGTCAGGTGGGTCAGTTTTCACTGGTCATGATGGGCAGGCAAACCTGGTGGACGGCCAAAATGTCGTTCGAAAAAACTCTGCGCACTGTCCAAGGTCTCGTTAAATATTATATATCGACTCCCTAGATTGCTTCACTCACGTCAAGCTTCTTCCCCCCCCCAACGACTCGGATCAATTGAAGGAGCTTTTGACAGATACCAGATGCAGATGCTGCTTCCAAACTAGCTAGCATGCTCCACCTAGGTGTCTTTCCCTATCGCTTAGTTTACCTACTTGAGCATAAAAGTCACCGGCCACTATGACTACATCAGAGCGCCTAGCTTTTCGGAGAAGGTCGGAAAGCTTTCTGTAAAACTCATCTTTTACATCATCTGAGCTGCAGTCAGTGGGAGAATAGGTAGAAACGACGAAGAGGCAACGACGAGTGTCCCTATCTTTCCGGATTCTTACTGTTCCGTTCAGTCGGACAGCGCACAAACGGCTGTCTACTGGGATCCACTCTAAGAGAGCTAGTTCTGCCCTAGGACTCAATGCTATACCTACGCCGGCAAGGCCACGGGAAGCAGAATCAGGGCTTCCAGATACACGAAGTGTAAATCGAGTCGGTTCTTTATTTTGGCATGGTGAGGTTAAATGAATGACGCTACTCGGATCTTGTATGCGCGTTTCGGAGACGCAGCACACATCGATGGCGCGAGATTCTAAAGTCCTAGCTAAGGAAGCCTGCTGTCCTATTTGGCACAGTGTTCGTACGTTAAAAGCTCCTACGTGTAGTTTAGAGCGTGGTTTCAGGAGACCAGGAATAACGTTCCGCGTACTCGGATCGTTCGCCCTAGCGGTGCGAGGTGATAAAGAGACGTGAGGAGGGCTAGCGGTGGAGATGATAGAGTTATTAGGAGGTGTAGGAAGGATTTGAATGTGACTAACTTGGTCTCGTGTGCTGTTACGGGTATGAGGGCTGGTGTCATTTCCCGGCTGCCCACACCGTGGAAGGGTATTTCTTGAGGAACATGAAAAGGAAATTGGATTAATGTTGGCCTTAACTACCGCAGAGCCCAAGGGACAGCTGCTTGAGGCCGGTCGCGCACGGCCTTTTCGTGGAAGGTTTTTAATGTGTTAGCTCCGTTCTTCAAAGGGCTTTACCGCCGGAGACGGAAATCCGTGAGGTAAGGTGAGGTGTGACATTTTTAGGGTCGACCTTTTCTAACCCCACCCCTCCTTGTGGGAAGGCAGCATCACTGTAGATGCTGGTTGTCCGAGGGAAACACCTTACTGCTGTCACAGCCCTCTACAGTCAGCAGTACGACTTTGCCCTCAGACCTTGAGTTGCTGCTTTTAGTCTTACCGTTCACCAATCGACCTGCCTGGCATGGTAGAACCTACAGGAACATATGTTCCAGCCAATATAGCTCCGTTGGGTCATCACGATAGCCAAGCCCGACCACCGCGTCAAGGTAGCAGCTTCGGTCGGGAATTGGTGTTGATCTACACCTTGTGTGAGGGCCAATGATTCTCTCTGGTTGCTCAAATCGCTTTAAGTGATAGTTTTAACCAGCAGCCTACTAGCTGAAAGGTAAGTGCTTAGTTAGTAAATGACAAATCAGAATTATATGCGATGATGTAGACTTTTTCTCAGAATTATGAGTATGTAGCAACATGATACACGACTACACAATAACTTATGTTATAGATAAGACAATCTGTAGTTTTGAATGATACATCCACACCAATAAAATCTACAGAAGTGTGAAAATTCATATTACTGTGGTTAAAATCAAAACAACATAAAAATAACTCGAGTCAATGATGCTAAGGAAAACTAAAAGTTAAACGCCCTACATAAAATAAATGCTGATTAAGTGGAATATACTCTCAGGATATTTTATCAACAGACTTTAACAGAAGATATATAGAAATCAGTTTTGAGTATTCGTGTTGCGGTCATTTTGGTTCACAATATGAAAACAGTTCGACAAAACTATTTATTGAAGCCATATTTCAACTGAGATTTTTATCGAAATAAATAGTCACGTTGAAGCATATGGAATACTGAAACTCGTTACTTTAAAATTAAAACAAAAGTGCAGCAATCGTTCAGTTGTCACAGGAACCATATAGTATGACCCGAACTAGTCAATTTTTAGCGCACAACAAAACTTGATGTTGTTTTTATGTGTTGTGTGGTTCTGTATAGTTACTTTACCGCGTTATCATAAGATGTTGTGACGATGACAAACCAAGAAAAGGACTAATTCTCAGATCCACAACTTTCAACCACCTAATGCAGACAGTACTTTGGTTACCGTTCTCGTCAACGATTAAAGTTTATTGCCTGTAGACTTCGTGAAGTTTAAAGCCATTGTCCAAAAAGGGTCCAGTTACTATAACATAGTATCAGCCTTCAGTGTGTTAATGATTTAGAGTTAAACGAGCGGTATATTAGTCCCTAAGGATGTTTCTGTGGCTGAAGGAAGAGTTAACAGTTGTGAGGGTGTTATATCTTTTCATTACCTTGCACATGACATCCCGCTAGTCGGGATCCCACAGCAACCGAAAGTACACTCAGAAATCGAGATGACCCACAATTAAACTATATCCCACAGTCGTTATTAGAAACGTCAATGATCGATACACAACAATATAGACGGCGGTATCAGAAGTGGTGAGTGCACTTTCTTGTATTAAGTATTTAAGCTATACAAAATATAACGTTAGGAAATACCTAACCAACTAGCTACAACCATGATAATAGGAGCGACATACTGTTTATATTCCACTTACTGGTGGGTGATGGGTAGAAAGCGTACAATAAAGTCAAGAGACAGTTACACAGTATATTTTATCAACTTCAGTTCCCATCAAAATTTTGTACAAATAACCATTTGAACACATAATGCCAGATATTTAAGACATTAATACACAAAAGCGTACCTGAAAGATGTATGACGGTTGAGGTTTGGAATTTCGAATTCTTTTTTCCAGCAGCTCTTTTGTTTTCCTATTTATATCTACCCTCTTACCATGATTCAAACTTTCAGTACTTGACGAAGAACTAATGCCAATTTCAGTTGAACCAGTCCAATTGGCCAAAGTCTCACGAGGAACAATTGAGAGAGAGGCATCCAAAACAACATCAATTGCTGCTGACTCATATTTGATAGCTCCTGGTCTGAGTACAGACCGATTATGAGAAAGTCGAGAACCAAGTTTGTTAAAAACACTATCCCTAACTTTTTCGATCGCACGCACGATAACAGCCTCAGTCTAAAAATATGACAAGAAAACACTCAACTAACCTTCATCTCTCCAAACTTGGTGACACCACACTCGGTGGGAAAAATATTTTCGCAAAACAAATCTGTGAGATTTAATTGACCTCCAATACATTCACGAGTAAGTTTTGCTTCATAAGACGTGCATTCTACATCTTGACGAGCTAATCTTTCGTAGCTAGGTTCCGAATCAATGTAATTATCTTGAGGAAAAGAGTGATCCAGGAATGCGTGGAAAATAGTCAAGTGCGACATCAAGTTGTGGGAATTTTATTTAATGCAGCCAGTTATGGTGGATCACATGCAAGAATCTAGTAGCTATTAACAGTATAAATCAACGTTAGTTTTGCACTGGCTTTAGAACGTAAATACATTCAAACAATTTCACGATAGCACTTTTTGTAAGAACTAGGGCAGGTTGATAATTTGAAAAAAAACTGCTACTATTAACCAAACACTTGAATATCAAGCATAATGGATGGTTTTTCTAGAAATTAAGGATTTAAAGGCAGTAAAGTTGTAGAGTCTAATACTTTCACGGCCTGTACTGACAAAACAGGTCGTCTCAAGCATTGTGAGCGCATGTTATACTAAAGTCGTTAGTTACAATAACGAAACGTTTGAAACAACTTTAGGGTCAAAAGTGAAACTCGATATACACGTATTGACAGGAGCATGACCAATAACATACTAATAAAATACGAATACCAAAGGGTCAATTAGTCGTATCACATGCACTTAAATATGAAAGAAAATTATGAAAGTAGCGACCGTTGTTCGATGACTTAATGATATTAAGCTCTGGTACATCATGCGGTCTGATGTATTACATCTGTTATCATTCTCGACAGACTATTTCAGAACATCTTGCAGAGTAGAAAAAACATGTACATGTCAGACCCAACAACAAGTGACCGGAATAATACCATAGTAAGCACGATCTTTGGAATTAAAATGAAAACCCGTACTTAAATTTTGACCTATCCACCTGACTGGGATATTATCGCAACACTAGGAACACTTTATAGACAAGTTGAACACTTGTTATTTACTTGAACACATAAATATGGGTACAAAGGGGCACCGAATGCATAAGCGCCACACACGTCACTTGAATTGTGTTTGGGCCACGATACTGCCCGGATGCCCAAACTGAAGCAGGTGGTATTCCTAAGGCGCCACACTCAGAGCGTTCGACCTAAAGGTCTGATCAACAAGGCAGTGGAGCAGATGCAGTCTTATAGCAGCCGGTGACCAACGATTGGTTCATACACCATTTGTCCCTTCAGGATACTGGAGCCCATATGTACTATCGGTTTGGAGTCAGGGTCTTCCACTCCCCTAGGTGGACTCTCAGTGTCCACCAACCCGGTTAAAGCACCGGAAATTCGCTTTTCGTCCTCTCAATTTTGTAAACAACACCCGCAACACGGGAAGGCAGTGAGTAGGACTTCCCTGGCAGTGGCTGTATACGCGTGGCTATGTGAGAGCATTTCGAGAGAGAGCTAATTCTCCCACCCTCGGCCGTACCAGGGCATTTGAGGACTTTCTTTTAAGGTGAGTACACGGGAAGGACCACACAATCTACTGATAAGAGTAGCGGTGCTTGCAATGGCAGTTCTTACATGATAAGCTTACTTATTAAAAGAAGACCAGGTTGCACGACAAAATACAAGAATACCTGTTAAAATAAGACTCACAGGCTCCAAACAGTGGTTTGATAAAGTGCTTCGTAAATGACAGAGGGACTTCAGTCTATGCACGAACTTCAGGTGGTGCTTAAATGACCTTAAGAATGTCCAACTACTTGCTGGAACTACACAAACGTTGTAGATTTGTGTGAAGAATCAGGACAAGGATTGACAATTGAATGTCAGGGTTAGGAATTGAAGTTGAGGCTTTCACTATGAACTGACATCATTTGGTGCCTAAATACCAATTAGCTTTATGGATAAATGAATTTTGGAACAAAATTCAAGACCTGATATATTCTTTCAGGTCGGTTCGTACATAAATTAACGGTCTCGCCCAAAATGACTAGTATAGTAACCCTAGAAATAAGCATTATACAAGCATGAGTTGAAGACAAAATAAAGGCTAGCAGAAAAATAATCGAACGGAAAAAACACTGAGATGAGGAACCGCAACCCTAGCTCCCCACACTATATTCGCTATATGAATACGACTTAAACGCACTACACGTAGTAACAGAATAACAGGAAATGATTTGTATAAATTTTAAAAATAACACAACAGTTGAACACTATATTAAACACGTTAAGCATTAACAAGTGAACGAATAACAGGCGATAGCTAAAGTATTTCACCTAATGATAAATGTAGCAACAGGTTTTGAGGTACGCGCGCGCTTTTCGAACAGGATGTTTAGTACTAACGTGATTTGCATTTATCAAACTTTTGCTGTGTTCTTACGCAACAAAAGTAATATTTCAGTTCTGAAGAATCTATTCTGAGCTATACGTTCGGTATGTTTTATTTTTTAGTTTCACCATATTTAATAAATAACTGTGGTTTTGCCTCAGCTTACTGTTCGTTTTTTTTTGTTTTTCACGTAAAGACTATTTCAGTTTATCTCACTCGTTTTTATCCGTTTTTTATCCATTTTTGTCCGTTTTCAGTGTGCTTTTTAGTGTTTTTTACGGTCTTAGGCTTTTTCAAGCGTCTATTACATAGTTTGCTTCAACTTAGTCATAAGAAACTCATGCAAACGTCCGGGATGCCGTTTCGCTGTTACAACTGGCATGCAATACGAAAACTGCAAAGGTTGGTTACACGAAGCGTGCACATATCTGACGGCAAATGCTTACAACAGACTCAGCAAGTCGGACCAAATGTGGGTATGTGTCACATGCAGCACGGACACTGCAGTCTTTGCTGAGTAACATCATCGTCCTACTGACAGGTCTGTGGATCAATTTGTCAGCAAACTTGGATAACGACACTAAAAAAACGGGTAAACAAACAAGAGCGCGCAACGAGCACAAGATTAGGGATGTCGACAGGTATACCATCGATGGAGCATCCTTCAGCACTAATGATAACGTGTTGAAGCTCAGCACCATCATTACGTCGACGGTATTAGACTCTCTAAGTAAACTCGGGTCTCCCAGCTCAGGGTTCCCGAACACAACAGTGGTTCCCCAAAACCCTGTAGATGATTTGACCTACGCTAGCGGAGCCCAGAAGAACCAGGTGCCACTGCCTAAGCTGAGCATCCCAAGTATTGTTGTACGGAAAACAACTGGTGATTTGGTCCACAGTCAACCCCCAAGAATGTTCGTCCGGTCACTAAGGAGCCCAAAATTCAAAAACGTGCCTTGGCCTCCAAACAACAAGGTATTAAACCTGAAACCATCAGGAAACTTGGTAAATCAACAACAGTTCGCGGCGATTCTCTCATAATCATGAATCTCATTGAAAATCCTGACCTTCCTCTCAGTCTGCAGGACAAAAATGACAGGATGCTGTGAGGTGAACTGAACAAGAAGCTCGAACTTCCCAGAATAGAGCCTTTGACGGTCACCCGGCTCACTCGAGGAAAGGATTCTAAGCATCTAAATCACCCGAGGCTTCTTCGAGTAACACTTAAGAATGCTACCGACGTAGGGGACGTCTTGCTAGCAAGTCACTTGCTGAAATCCGATGGTAACGTAAGAATATTGCCCGACACACCGTACTCTGAGCGCAATATCATACGGAACACCCTTAAAGAATCTCGCGAGAAGTTTTTTCCCTGAAGAAACATAATTGTGCAAGGTATACCGGAAAATACGGACCCTACTCAATCAAGTTCTGACATCAGAGAATGTAAATTCATTAAACAGTCCTTGAGGTTCGAACACATACTGACTCAGCATATGACGAGCTAGCCAAGAAGGATAGTGACCCTAGACCCCGTCTAATGAAGACAATATTCCCATCCCCCCACATGGCGGCTGCAACTCTGGAAGCATTTCGTGCAAACAGATGTCGTCTGCCACCTGGAATCCACATGCACCCGAATTGGGCATACGAAGCTAGGACCAAGCACAAAGGCAAGATGGAGCTGACCATTTCACTTGTGGACTGTCTAGACCATAAAAAATACGTGTAAAGGACATGGCCTACCACCTTGGCAAACCTCATATAGGTAGGCTACCTGTCCATTCACGTAAGGCTCATACAGACAAACAGGACGAAGCTCACGCGTTCCAAATGGAAAACATAAACTGCTTATATATGAACGCCGCGAGTCTACCAAACAAATTGGATGAATTACGTGGACTTAGCAACGTTGATAAGGCCCATCTGATAGGAATATCTGAAACCTGGATATCTTCTCAGTTCTCGGACCAAGAGTTAGCATTGCCTGGGATGTCTTTGTTCCGCAACGACAGAAAATCAGGAATTGGGGCGGAGTAGCCCTATACATACGTCCTTGCATATCTTCTTGGAGGTGCACCAAGTTCACAACCTTGAATTTAACAATCTTGAGGAATCCATATGGTGCTCTGTAAGATTGTCAAGTACTTCGAAGTGTCTAGTCGGAGTCATTTACAGGAAGCCAACTGCCGACATCGAGTACGATAGTCGTATGCTGGAAGGACTATCCCGCTCTACTCGTCTCGGTTTCACACACATCCTGATTCTAGGGGACTTTAATTTCCCTAGAGTCAACTTCGCGGATCACACGTATATTGGAGGTGATAATTCAATTGAAGCCCAGTTCTTCAACCTCGTCGATGACTTGGGATTATATGAAAATTTGAGGTCGGCAACTCGTTGGAGAAACAGTCAGACACCATCGCGCTTAGACTGTGTATTCAAAAACGAAGAATTCCTAGTTGACAACCTCTCAATCCTTGCTCCCCTGGGAAAAGCGATCATGCCGTCATAGCCTTCAGTTTTGTCAGCAAAACTAAGCTAAGCTATCCCACCAATAACTTGCGTTGGAATTTTAAACGGTTGAATGTGCCAGCTCTACACGACTATCTACAACGGGTGGTTTGGGATGTTCACCCCCAACTCGATGTGGACGGGCATTGGGAATTCTTACTGCACACGCTACAAATCATTCAGTTCCTCAAACGGTTCCCAAAAGCTTCGAGCCACATACAATAATCAAGAAATGTACTCTTCGCCTGCTAAGCCGAAAAAGGCACTGTTGGGCAGAATACAGACGAACTGACAACGACGGAGCGTACAGGCAATATAAACATATAAGGAACATATGCACGAAGGCTATAAGAGAAGACAGGCTTCAGTAAGAAAAAAGCTTATGGACAAATTTGCCTTTAATCCTAAAATCTTATTCCGTTATGCAGCCTCTCTTCGTCAAGCCAAAAGTGGAGTTTCAGAACTGCTAGGTCTTAACGGCCCGACCAACAACGATGGCGACGCCACTAACTTTCTGGCTGAACACTACTCTCAGACATTTCAACTGACCGACACCAACTCTACTGATGACAGTTTCATCTGCGATTCCATAGGACTTTCCGAAGTGAACCTAAGCGCTGACTTGATGTTCCGGAAATTGCAGCACTTAAGACTTGACACTTCTCCTGGCCCGGATATGGTCCATTCTGCCATGCTGAGGGAAGAAGCCTCAATCCTGGCAACGCCGTTTAGCGTGATGTTCTCACACTCGCTAAGCCGAGGCAAACGACCGGAAAATTGGAAGTGGGCTCACATCACACCAATTTTCAAAGGAGGTCGACGCAACGAACCTTCAAGTTATCGGCCCGTGGCTCTTCTGTCATTACCTTCAAAGCTCATGGAATCCCTTATACGTGACGGTTTATACGACTATCTATTGTCCTTAAATTTCCTCTCACCCCAACATCATGGCTTCAGTATGGGCTACACTTGTATAACCAACCTGCTGACTGCGGTGGACAGATGGACAAGTATACTCGATCGCAAGGGAAAGGTTGACATCATCTACCTTGATTTCTCAAAAGCTTTTGATAAGGTTAACCATTTATGTCTTATCAATAAGCTCAAACGACTAGGTATCAGACCACCTCAAATCGATTGGCTTATTTCATACCTGAAAAAACGACACTTTAAGGTTAGGCTTAATTTCACTTTATTTCAGGCTATGGAATGTACAAGTGGGGTCCCCCAAGGCTCAGTACTAGGACCTCGTCTCTTTTCGATATAAATAAATGATCTTCCTCAACAGGTAACGTCAGAATTGTTACTCTTAGCTGATGATGTTAAACTTTGGAGAGAGATATGAAATCAAGACGATATATAGGCACTTCAGGAAGATCTGACTTCAAAGTTGGACAGATAATAATGTAAAGTAGTCCATCTGCGACATGTCTCAGACTACAGTTATAACTTAGGTAACTCCTCTCTAGTAGTATCCCGAGTCGAAAAAGATTTAAGAGTCTTGGTCCCCTACGATTTGAAGTCTTACGCTAACTTTGACAAAAATGCCTTCCGAGCAAACCTTGCACTGGTAACATTGAAGCGCATTTTTGGACGGTTCGACGGAAGAACTTTCCATACAATCTTCAATAGTTTCATCCGTCCTCATTTAGAGCACGGAAACATAGTATTTCCCCCTCACTCCAAAAGGATAAGGATACCCTGGAACGTATCCAACGGCGAGCCACGAAATCAGTTCGAGGACTCAAGTTTAAACCTTACGAAGAACGCCTCCGTTCACTAGACCTTTACCCATTAGAGTATAGACGTCTTAGAGGTGACCTTCTGATGGCTTGCAGTATCCTTAACACTTCTGGATATCCTCTCAAACACCTACTTAAGCTTAGTTCGAACACTAACCTGAGGGGTAACACCCAGAAACTGGAGACACAACATAGCAGAACGGACTGTAGACATAACTTCTACTCCTTAAGTGTTGTCAAATGCTGGAATTCGCTGCCGGCAGAGCTAGTCCAAGCGACTCCCCAGAAGTCCTTCAAGAGGCAACTTGGCCTATTCTTAAAGACCAAGGACAGCATCACATTATGATTTACCAATTTCTTTTCCTTTTTTATTGTTAACATACCTAGGTTCCTGCCTGGAGGATTTGGTGATTCCCTGCTACTAGACACGGAAGCCTGTTAAGCGCAAGCTTCTTCTATCCCGTCCACAACCATTTGAACCATTTGAACTACGAAAATTGGCGTGTGACGGAAAAAATACTGTTAATAACTAATAAATAACGACATCCAGGACCCTCGACACCATGCAACATGCGCGCGAAAACCCATGGCTCATCGTCCTAATCGTCCTCGAAGTACGTTTGGTTCATACACCATTTGTCCCTTCAGGATACTGGAGCCCATATGTACTATCGGTTTGGAGTCAGGGTCTTCCACTCCCCTAGGTGGACTCTCAGTGTCCACCAACCCGGTTAAAGCACCGGAAATTCGCTTTTCGTCCTCTCAATTTTGTAAACAACACCCGCAACACGGGAAGGCAGTGAGTAGGACTTCCCTGGCAGTGGCTGTATACGCGTGGCTATGTGAGAGCATTTCGAGAGAGAGCTAATTCTCCCACCCTCGGCCGTACCACGGCATTTGGGGGCATGAGGCCTAGTTACTAAGTATAAAATATTTGAGAAGAATCTTGAAAATAACCTCAACATCTTAATCATTAAAACAAATCTAAACTAGTCTAGACAAAGCAACTGTTTTAAAAATTGTCTGTAAACTATTAACTCTTAGCTATAAAACTTCATAATTTCTACTTGTATATCAATGTTAAAATATAAAAATGTATTAGATGTATAGGTAAAAAAATTTACAAAACTTAACAAAGAAATGACCTAAGTATTTTTTTAAGAAAAAACTGAACTAAACGAACAATTATCCTGAGTGCTGCTAAGATATATTGAATGAAGAATTTTAGTGAACATTCTTCTCTTTACAATAATGTTTAACATTTAAATTTGCAATATATCGGTAGTCTGTTGTATATATACTTAATCAGTTGAACACTATATTAAACACGTTAAGCATTAACAAGTGAACGAATAACAGGCGATAGCTAAAGTATTTCACCTAATGATAAATGCAGCAACAAGTTTTGAGGTACAACATAGAGTTAAACTAAAAACAGTAGGCAAAGATGTGAACTAAGACGTAGAACAGCGATCTAATTACAGAACTCCTAAAATAACGAACCACCACATGGATCACAGAGACACAAGTGAACTGAAATCTTGCTGAACGTTTTATCGCTAGATGAACCCACCCAACTTCGTAAATTTGAATAACAACCATAAAATGAAATTCAACATCCACTACGCGAAAACAATTAGAATGACAAATTATTATACACTCACTGATTTATTGCAAAAATACTCAACCATAAATCTCATCGGCGAAGACATCACCGAAAGCAACGCTGATCCAAAACAGGTTTTCATGGTGGGAGACGGTCATTGTTATTCAACCAGTGACCAACTACTCCTCACCGGCCACCAGAGCGACTCTTCCGTACATAGATGCCTTATCGACACATTCAAATCTCTAGATAACACTAAAACATCTGTCAAACGCGATTTCTTATGATCATTTAACTCGTGTTAGAGCTAATCCTCGATTGTATCCGGTCGGCAATTTGTTGGGGCGTAGGCATTGATAACGATATAAAATCGTATTCCATTTTTGACTTCTCGCTCTGACGGAACCTTTTAATCTTGAGACACACTGACTACTGTTAATTTGGGTCTAATCGATTTGGTACAGGGGCGCTTAACAAACCCAATAAAAACTGATTAGGAAGCATTATTAAGTTTTGATACCATAAGAAACATGTGGTAACCTGACAAATTATATTCCTATTGACAAAGCATACAAACTTGATACAATAGAAAATAGTCACCATCATAGGTCATGGCTCTTCATTTGAAAAGAATCGTTGACATGAGATTGTTAAACAAATCGATAACTTCATGAAAATGAGTCAGTCAGTATTTTACCCATGAGCGCAAATACTATGAAGGAATACGTGACAACTTATTTCCTTATTCTGACGTGTAAACGTTACCTGAATCTATAAAGCGACCATCTTTGTCTACAATAAGGTGAAGGTGGGATGTATATTGTTCCGTCATGCCAGTATATAGGTAATGTTCCAGTGGAACAGGGCGTTTATCTGTTGCGATGACATGAATCTCACAACCTCGTACACGTCCTAACCAATCAGCTATTTGATAATTATTTGGTACAGTGGCGCTTAGCATTACTAGTAGAATATGCTTAGGAAGCATTATCATAATCTGTTCCCATACGTAACCTCTGTCTGGATTATTAATATAATGTACCTAAAGAGAAAAAGGAAAGGAAATAAAAAATTATAACAGTAACAATAATAACAATAAAAATTACAATAATGATAATCAAGCTTATTTATTAATCCAGCAATCTCTGATGAAGTAAACAGATAAACTAGACAAATGTAGAACATAGTTTGTTAGCTAATGAACCATTTCTTCACTGAAGAAAGAGTGAAAATAATCTGGAAAAATTAAATTTCAGAAGTAAAAGAGTCAAACTAGTGTAAAACTTCAAGTAAAAATCTCAACAACAATTAAACAACTACAAGTACGAATATAAACAGAAAGTTTCGACTAGGGACACATATGTCGGTGAACATGTGTTTTATCATAGGTATCATTACCAAGGTTTGGTTTGATAATTTCGATTAAATTGAGCATTGGGTAATAAGAATATTAATATCGTATGCGATTGCAAAATGATTGATTCTGTAGTTCATTCACTTGCTAGTGGGAATAAAACATTAGTCAATTTAACTCAATTATTGTTCTATCACGTCAGCTATGATCGACATAGAGCCTACGACAGTTGGCAACCCTAAAGAACACCACTCGCAATTCAAAATTCTGGTAAAGGTTGGTCATAAGCTTTGACTTGAGCAGTAATATTGTTATAGCGTTTACGTGCTTTTTTGTCATACCTTTCTATGACAAGCCATATCACAAAACCAACTCAATAAAGTTGAATGCCGCCTCAAGGTACAAAAGAACACTACAACAGTTGGGCGACGGTAAATTTCATTATGTTATAGGACCTGACATTTGTTCAATATATTCACGTTCATATCTGAAACTACCCTAGTTTCTTTTAACTTGTCTTTGTGAAACTGCAAACAAACGTTCGATAAATATGGCGGTTACTACCGTAGATATCCAGATTGATTATTGTGTAATTATCACAAAACGATTTTGGTTCTTTCTTCCTCATAAGGCTAAAGTCCGTCATATCATTTAAACAACATAAACCTGGTTACTTTTAGGTGGTTATAGGTATGGGGTTGTGAAGATTTATGAATTCCACAGAAATCACGAACCGACCAAATCAAGATCACAATTGGAATCTCGGAAGCATTGGATGGACGCTTCATCCTAATATGGGACTCCTCAGCTGAGGCCAATCACTACTATACACGTCATCATCGAGTCCAGAAAATTAGATATCACGCACGGACGTCTAACTGATAAACCACTGAGCAGGTATGAAAAAGTGAACAAGTTTAACTACAACCAATTCACGATATAGCGCAACGTAAGTCAATCATTTTCAGTGTGTACACTCATCACAATCGACAAGGTCTAGCTCAATTGATCATTGCATCGAATTATAGCCCTGGAAACTTCCTCTTAAATCTAGTCACTAGTGAGCACATGATAACTATCAGTATGGATTTATGGATATTGTTGAATTTCATAGAAGATAACCACGCAATAACGTAAATCGATTGATATTAGACTCAGTGGTCTAGCGGTTAGAAGTTTGCACGCGAGACTGAAGGTCCTAGGTTCGATTCCCTGTTGCAGGGTCGTGGATGTGAACTTCTGAGGAGTCCCACACTAGGATGGAACGGCTGTCCGATACTTTCGAGTTTTCAGTGGTTGTTTAACTTTACTTGGTTTGTGATTTCGATGAATTGCAGTGATCAGTTATTGCAATAAGATTTATTCTAACGTAAAATAATACCTTTATAGTAATTTTTAGTCAACAGGACGTAATAAAATAATCATAACTGTGATAATAATTTCAAGAATATGGGCCCACGACGTTTGTGTTATTTGGAATACTATATGTTTTGGAAGGTATTTGAGCTGAAACCAAATAAACTTATCACAATTAACTGTCTTGTGGTACGAAATGTAGAAATTTTGACAATCATCTACAATAGTCTAGCCCGATTTTTTCCACAGATATGTAATTTAATAAAACAACATAATTATAACAAAATAGTTTTTATTAAACAACCTTGGTAATTAAATGATAAGCAATAGCTTACCTCGTCCAAGATTACAATTTCAAGATTTTTGATAATCTCAGATGCATTGCACAACATATTATATAATATTTCAGTGGTCATGACAAGTAGTGATGCTTCTTGAGCTAGTTTGATATCCCCAGTAATTAGTCCTACATTTTCACCAAATCTTTCCCTAGAGTAGTTGGTAAGTGGTAGACAAAACTGTGCTTAGTATATCCCCATATATATAAACTACGATAAAATACATATTAAACTATTATTTCACTAATTCAACAAAATGACTAACCTAAAATCATGAAATTTCTGATTGGAAAGTGCTTTAACTGGACTTGTATAGATGACACGTGAACCACGACGTAAACAAATAGCGCATGCGTATTCTGCAATCACCGTTTTACCAGACGATGTATGTGCTGAAACAAATACTGTTTTGTTGTTTTCAAGACAAAGAATTGCACGTTTTTGAAATGTGTCAAGCTCGAAATCCCAATGCAATGCTGGATTATGAATTAATTTTGTTAAGGTCGGGAGTGGTGTTACAGTATCCTCCTATGCAGAAAGTGATAATAATCATAGGAATGAAAATTTACAGATAATATGCATAAATGAACCTGTTAAAAACACTATGTAAATCAAAATACAAAATGTAGATCAAAATACTGTCGTTTCAAATAAACAAACTCATATTTCCATGCAGCGATTACATTTTGTTTCAACTTCAGTTTCAACTTTATATTGTATTATTAATTGGCGGTTAAAATGTCTCACTATATGAGATAAAAAGAAACGAACGTCTACTACACATATTTAAATCCATGAGGCCATTCATCGGTAAGGCTAAATGACACATTCAGTACTTGGACACGAAATTGACTCCTGATCGTTTTCTACTTCCTCAGAAATCCCCTACGCTTGAACCTCAAACGAAAGACGAAAGGCAGGAAGTACGAAAAGATGCTTCACTTCAAAGGTTATTTTGAGTATAGAGAATAAGGATATTTATGGGTGATCTTGATATTCTGTAAGTCGCTGAAAATATGTCAAAATTGGAAACAATATCGCTAGTTGTTTAATCAGAAGAAGACACGAAACCAACCTTTTCTAGAGTTTTCTGGGAAGTCTCTGTTAAACATTGGCTGGCGGACGTATTTTTTCAACCTTCTCACAGTTTCTGAAGGCTTTTACGAGGAAATCTAGTAATAAACATCAATTAATTTGTACGGTGTCATTTTGATCAATTTGCTAATAAAACTGACCAATTCTAGACATCTTTAGTGAACGGATATCATTCAAGAATTAGTTTTTTTTTCATTAACACAGTATATAACAGAAGTTGTTTATGTAATATTGGGTAAGGAAGTGTATACATTCTGGGTAATGTTTAAGTGAACAAAAAATAACCAAGTCATGCAAACGAAATTACTTAATCTGCCAGGTATTTGGTGAACTGATGCGAATACGTAAAATACTTTAAATAAAACACTTTGTCAACGTCCTCAACTGCAAAACGTTAGTAAAGAAAGTTCCACACAAAAATCAAAATGCTTGACTCGTTATCCACCCCACAACAAGCACATCTTGATCACATGATTACAACATGAAGATAATCAGTCAATAAGCATTCCAAAACATATTACATTACAAACGAATTCCAAGCTTTCTGAAATAAAAATGTGTGTGAACCAATATGGAGATAATTAGAATAGGAGTTTATTTAGATTGCAGGGATTTATAGTTTACATAACATGATACTAGCTGCATAAATCTTTAGAATAAGGAACCGTGGGGCGGCTGTTTCGATCTAGAATGGAACTACCCGTCAGGGAGTATTCACGACCCCACCGAGGACTGAACTCAAGACCCCCAGATCTGAAGGCAAACGCCCAACATCAGACTACTGAGTCTGGATTCAGAAGTATACATCACCGGCTATAATCGAACCTTGATATTACGCGAACACCTTACAATGTCATCGGTGGATAAATGTCAGACACCCTACAAGGTTGAATTAAATATCTCACTAGAACACGGAGAATAATCTGTCGCAATCAGCCACTAGTGATGAACGAAGACTTAATAGTATAAAGCTTTAAGCTGAACACTAAGCCCGTAGGCCCTCAGTTCGATCTAAAGTGAGATGGTGGGTGCCCGCTTCTGAGGAGCCCCGTACCATCATAAAACAGCTGTCCGGTGCTTGATGGTTTCACTGGTTATCTAGATGAGGTCAGTCAGTTATGTAAAAAATGTGAAATAGTTTACACTACAAATTAGCTTTAGCTACATTACTGTTGAACCAATTCTTTCTTCCTGTATTATATCCTTATACACAATCTTTCTTTTATATATTACTACCATTGGAGTAACTACTATGAATTTGGTGTTCATCTTGTTGTGCTAATGAGGTATAGCAACTTGGACCGATGCACGTATGTGCCTGGTCTTACGTTGTAGCTGACTGACTGACACTACTTCTGAAAACCAGAAAACACATGATGTCTAGGACGAAAGAGTTTCTTTCTCCGATCTTCAACGGTTGTCTAGCTAAGCCAGTTTATGGTGTTAACTACCATTAAAGTCTTCACAATCCCTCGATCCTAATGAAAAGACAATATATTGGATATGGAGAATAAATTCGTAATTCATTATTGCTTGATATCTGTAGTTTGTAAAGAACCTATGATTGATTAATGAAATGTGTTGAGCCTATAACAAACAAATGATCACCATTGCTGTCCTAAGTATTTCATATACGTCAGGAAAAAAATGGGAATCATGTAAGCTGGTGAACTGCTAGAATGAAACGATGGAGAGAGGTGGTTGTATGCTTTCACTCTATCTGATGTGTTTGTATACAGAGCTTGCAGTAAGTATGGCGTAACGCCGGAATTTCATAGAGGGTGAAAATTATAACCAATAAATAAACAACCAGGACGAAAGCCGGTCTGCTTCTCGCAAGTCAGTCTTTTATATGTTTCAGTGTGAGTTATAACGGAAACCAATAGTTCTGAATCGATTGAAAGTAAACTTATTCTGGATCTTTGTAGAATAGATGACTTAAACCCAGTTTAAGGACTAGGACTACTGTCGCTTGATTTTAGGATGGCAGAACACTCTCTACTTCGTAAATCTTTCCAAACAATCTAGTTGGTTCCCTGAACAAGAAGCTCGCCAGAGTGAGTCGTTCGGACCTGACGATTTGTGACGCTCCGGAAGTTGGGATTCCTAGGCGGCCACCTCTCCGTCAGGTGGGTCAGTTTTCACTGGTCATGATGGGCAGGCAAACCTGGTGGACGGCCAAAATGTCGTTCGAAAAAACTCTGCGCACTGTCCAAGGTCTCGTTAAATATTATATATCGACTCCCTAGATTGCTTCACTCACGTCAAGCTTCTTCCCCCCCCCCAACGACTCGGATCAATTGAAGGAGCTTTTGACAGATACCAGATGCAGATGCTGCTTCCAAACTAGCTAGCATGCTTCAAGTACCAAGTGTTCGGTTCTCACACAACTTCTGTATAACTTCCAAATCTAAGAATCTGTTTGTTGCCAAGCTCGTGATTAGTCACAGTCAACCGTGTCTCCAGAGGTCTGTTGAAACTTAGTGGTAGTCGGCGAGGCGTTTCGCAAAGCCACAAGCAACTTGTCATTTTCTTGACGCCAGGCAAATGCAACCGGTCTCCCCATGTATTTCTTCGTGGACTGATATTTAGCCTTGAACCTTGTTCAGTTTTATGTTTAGTTGCAATGGAAGCTGCAGCCAATTTTTATTTATCAACTACTTCAGAACAATGAAATGTTTGGCTACTTAAAATCAAAATAAAGGGGCCAAAGCCAAAGCACGATAAGAGATCAGATACGTATTTGAGAATGAGTGCGTCACATACACAAACATATAAGCAGTAGCTGAACGCAATATAACCAATCGGAATCTACACAAGGATTGCAGAGGGAGTGGAAACACATCATATCAGACTGTGTCGAAAGTAACGCCGACCCAAAACAGGTTTTCATGGTGGGAGACGGTCATTGTTATTCAACCAGTGACCAACTACTCCTCACCGGCCACCAAAGCGACTCTTCCGTACATAGATGCCTTATCGACACATTCAAATCTCTAGATAACACTAAAACATCTGTCAAACGCGATTTCTTATGATCATTTAACTCGTGTTAGAGCTAATCCTCGATTGTATCCGGTCGGCAATTTGTTGGGGCGTAGGCATTGATAACGATATAAAATCGTATTCCATTTTTGACTTCTCGCTCTGACGGAACCTTTTAATCTTGAGACACACTGACTACTGTTAATTGGGGTCCAGTCGACTTGTGCTGTCTGGTACTTACTGCGACACGGAAGCCAGACAAACCGAACAGAAATGCCACAGAGTTACCAGACAAATACACACGGAACAAGCGTCTCGAATCGAGAAATAGGATGTGCAATTCTAGCATTAATGCAGTCTTAAGTATGGGGCTCGGGTGTACAGCAGATGTCCATATCAAGACTTCATAAAGACAACCAAATTTACCGTCTGATCTGTATTAGCGCCAGAACGTTGAAAGAATCCAGTTTGAATGTTAATCATAGCTTCAGAAAGGCTTATTCAGAATCTGTACTTGGTGGTAGCCATTAAACTTTTGACTAGTCTGTAATTTGAGTTCGTTTCAACACGACAAAATTGTTGGCTGCTTGACTGGTTGAATTACTTGTGATCTGAATACAACGCGAATATAAATAATACTGTCATTCCGACTATATTAATGCGCCTACGACTATTGTTGAGGTTAAAGTTGAACAAGTAGTTGAAATCTACCACTGAAAACCACGTTTTTGACAGACAACCGGGTGCCTCATCTGTGTCAGATGGCTGAAGTTGGTGAAGGAAAAGGAAATTTACGTCTATCCCAAAATATCCTCAGACGAAAATCTATAGAAATTGGCGATATTTTAAACGCTAATGGGGTAATCAACAAAATTCACAAGATTATTAGTTACATCACCATCTCCATGAAACGAAACTGTTTCACTAAGATGCATCAATTCTATTACAATATCCAGGTAGAATTAAGAAAGCTATCAGTAGGACATTTTTGATAAGTTAGGATACAAACACGTTAAGTAAAGTTAAGTAAAGTGAACCACTTAACATAGCTAGGTGGACATATGCAAAACAACAAAGGAGCACGGTCGTTGTTTTCCACCAAATATTTTGGATGGAGACCCATGCGAGATTGACTTTAGGAAAATTTTCAGAAACAAAGCGTTTACAAAGCATTCAAAACTTACTATTGTAGCATAGGATTCACGTGGTTTGCAGCTCCTTATTCGTTTTTTAAGAAACGTGATCGTTTCTCTTTTGGGTAGTAAGAAAGTTCCTGCTTCACTTATCTGAGCTGTTAGTCGAAGAAAATATCCCTTGGGAAAACACCAATTCTGAACCACATCCTCAGAAGCCATTTTCAATAATTCATCAATTATACTAGGGACAGTTGGTAAATCACCAGAACAGTCAGGTGATTTACGTATACAACTCAATAGATTAAACTCCATCTTAGTTGAACGGAGAGCCTGTTTACTAATTTCATGGATGGATTTCATAATTGTTGGTTCAACCTACGGAGATCAGGCCTGTTTCCAATAAAACTCACCCTAGTGTTGGCAGTATTTATTCCACAAGATGTAGCCGTAGCACATGACCGTTTAAAATTAACATCAGGATCCACTACTTTCCCCGTCATACCATCTCTATGTATTGGGATATAATGATACGGGATTTGGATTCGTTGGTGAATTAAATCATGTTTTAGAGAGTCCGGAATTAAGTTCTCATTCTTTGAGAAAGAATGTCCGAGGAAGGCGTGAACTTGTAATATCTGACTCATAGTTCTATATTCTGTTATAGCTGTTAAGCGACTGCAACTTAGGCCTGTGACCAAAGTAGAGAAACACCAAAACAACAACAATTGAGACTGGAATTCCATTTTCTTTCGGGTAGTAAACAAAGACAACTTCGGGGGGATTTGTAAATTCACATCTCACAACTATGGGTCGCAGATGGGCTTACGTGAGGTACTCAGTGCCCATAAAATTCCACTTACCGTTCCAAAATTTACCTTGAGTACCCTACAAACGGGACGGTAAAAACGTTGGATCCTTTCCGGCGCTTTAACCGGATTCAAAACCAATGGTGCACATGGGCTCCAGTATCCTGCGGGAATAAATGGCGTATGAACCATTTGTTGGTCACCGGCATCCATGGGACTGCATCTCCTCACGATGCTCCACTGCGTTGTTGATCAGACCTTCAGGTCGAAGGCTCGGGGTGTGGCCCCCTAAGAAAACCACGTGCTTCGGTTTGGGTACCCGGGCAGTATCACAGCCCTCACACATATCGAATGAGATTTGTGTGGCGCATATGTATTTGGTGCCTCTTTGTACCATTATCTATGTGTTGAAATAAATAAATAAATAAACCCGACTGTTAGCGAAACATTCTCAGAGAAAGATGGACATATATATTCTCAATCCAGGAGATTGGATCGATGGGCAGAACACTTTAGGGATTAGTTCAACTGGCCTTCAGCTACACTTCGGTTTCCCACGATCTCTAGTCAACCTGAATGGCAAGTTAATGTACGAAGTTGAAAAAGCCATAAGAAATCTGAAGCGTGGGAGAGCAGCAGGTCCTGACAGGTTTACTCCTGAGATATTTAAGGATGGTGGTCCAGTATCAGCAGTGAGATTAACTGAGGTCTTAGGTAGAATTTGGGAACTGGACGTAATCCCATCTGACTGGTCTCAATCACTGATTGTGCCAGTCTATAAGAAAGGACAAAAGTCCTCTTGTAACAATCACAGAGGAATCAGTTTGACTAATATAGTGTCTAAAATATTAGCTTCAACAATACTTCAACGCCTAACTAAAGCTCGTGAAGAGCAGATTAGAGAAAATCAGGCTGGTTTTCGACCTGGACGTGGTTGTATAGATCAGATATTCACACTACGTCAGGTTCTAGAACACAGACACACATTCAGATGCCCCACAATGGTAGTATTTCTCGACCTTAAGGCGGCATTCGACTCTGTTGATCGTGAGGTCCTATGGCAGTGTTTGTCACTGAAAGGAGTACCAAAGAAGTACATTAACCTTATAAAGGCTCTCTACTCGAACACAACTGGTAGAGTGAGAGCTTATGGCGAACTGTCATCAAAATTGATTACCTCAAGTGGTGTTCGTCAGGACTGTCCACTCTCCCCATTCTTGTTCAACTTTGTGGTCGACGTACTTTTAGAGATAACACTCTCCTCATCTAAATTTCCAGGGGTTGAACTTCTACCGGGAGGTTCACTTGTTGACTTAGAATATGCTGATGACATAGTTTTATTTGGTGAAGACGCTGACAAAATGCAGCGTCTTCTGACCACCATGAGCAACAATGCAAGCATGTTCGGGATGCGATTCTCTCCCTCAAAATGCAAAATGTTGCTTCAGGATTGGGTTGCATCGACACCCGAACTAATGATAGGGAGTGAAGTAGTTGAGCGTGTCGACCGCTTCACTAATCTTTGAAGTCTCATCAGTCTTTGTGGCCTGGCGTGTGACGAAATCTCAGCACGGATACAGAAGGCTCGATTAGCTTTTGCCAACTTGCGTCATTTATGGCGTAGGCGAGATATCCGTCTATCAACCAAAAGACGTGTTTACTGCGCAGCAGTTCGTTCCGTCCTACTTTATGGCAGTGAAACATGGCCGGTAAGAGTAGAGGATATTCGTAGGTTACTAGTATTCGATCATAGGTGTCTTCAAAACATTGCTCGTATATCATGGGACCATCGAGTAAGTAACACAGTTGTTAGGAAACGGGTACTAGGTAAGGATGGCAAATCAATTGATGAAGTAGTGAAACTTCATCAGTTGAGATGGCTGGGATATGTGTTACGTATGCCCAACGACCGACTGCTTCGACGTGCGATGTTCAATGGTATAGGAGTAGGTTGGAAGAAAGCTAGGGGCGGCCAGACCAAAACATGGCACAAGTCCATGAAGTCACTGACAAGTGAACTGAGTCATATTGGTAGGTGTAGACTACCTGGTTGAGATCAGCGAGACGATAACAACCGATGGTTAGAGACCTTAAATGATATGGCTCAAGATCGTTTGCAATGGCGCAGGTGCATCCACTCTTTGTGTTCTTCCAAGTGGTAGCCTTCTGAATTTTTCATGTCCCTTTTTTTCTCTTTCCAAATTTATTTCACTGGATTATACTCTTTAAAAAACATCTCCAAGCCCTAATCTTCCCGATTACTGCTTATACTCTTATTACCTCTACCACTACGGGATTTGAATCGACCACTACATCTCTGTGCTAATGTGATGTGACAACTTGAACTGATGTACGTACGTACGAAGTTCTACGTTCTTACTAACTGACTGATATATGTGCCTGGTCCTACTTTGTGACTGACTGACACAAATCAAGTGACGTGTGTGGCGCTTATAGAAAAAGGAAAGTACGCAGCACATATTGTATAATGTTTTCAATTTATTTCCGTTTATAGGTTATCAGGCAGCTTCTTTGTCGAAAATTTTCGGAGGATCATCATATCGTACTCCTGGTAAGTTTATTCAAGTTACATATAATACAGTAATAAAATATGTTGGAGGTTTAGGGGTATTAAACAAGAAACATCGTTGGAATAGCTCGGTGGTAACGTCTCAGGCTGTGAGATCAGGTGACACATGTTCAAATTCATTAAGAAGCACCAATTCTCTCAAGATTGTAGGGTACACCTTGCTGACGAGTGTTGTTTGGCGTGGAACCTATGTTTTTCACGGTTTCCTCTCGACTATCTCCAACCATTGGACATTTCAACATAGTGCATGGGTGTCGAGTCACTTGAACTAGTAGCCACTTCCCAACTTGACAAATACGATGTGATCAATATTAAAGCAATTATTAAATATGGTATTGGTCACCACTCAGTGACTGATTAGTTTTAAAATAAATCTAATTCTGTCCGATGACTATCGTCAACCAATTTGTCATGTATGTTATTAATATTTTAAAAAATATGTGTTTTTTTAGATTTCGTACAAATTTTATTGAATGATCGCCATCATGAAATGAAACAAGCTATTTTGAACTAAAATTCACTTGATCAGAGATCTTTGTTCATTACTATTAAATTTATCATCAGCACTAACCTTTAACAAAATACTTTGGGATTTTTAGATCTCACGAATTCATAACCTCATTGATACATATAATGAAATTCAGTCAGGTTTGTGTTGCAGCTCATTGGTTCTCAGTAGTTCTTCAGTTAAAATCTATCTTTGGATCAAGGTACTGTTAATTTTCGAGAGGCACTTACCAATTAATTAATATTAAGGCTTAGTTATTTACCTTAAATCTTCACCATATCGATTGTAACTCTTGTACCATTGCATCCATCCCTGCATATTTCTCTTACACTACCAAAAAGCAATGCTATTTATCGATCATGAGATTTTGGTTTGCATTTGATGGTTAATATTTCAAACATCATAAATCCGAAAGTATAATCATATTAAGCAATCTTTTTGGGTTGCTCATGTTTTATGTGTATTTATATGTATTGTATGTGTGCATAAAACGTACCAACAGTAGTAAAATGAAAGTTTTTGCGCATTATGTTTTGTGAACAGAAAATCAGTTTTAGTCGTCTACAATTATCGAGATACATACCATTTGAAGGGACAGTGAGTCGTTGAGCACCTTTTTTGAAGTGTCAAGAAAGAAATGTCAGACTTAGATTTTGTGCCTCTTGGGACTTATAAGCACTCACTCACCAGAGAGCCATGATAGAACACAACACAGCAGGTAGTGAAATTCTAATTACACAGTTCATTTCCGTGACTCAACTCATATAAAGTAAGTTCTTGAGCTCATATCAACTTAATTAAAAAATGATGATCATGTGGCGATATTTACTGTCCAAATGTAAAAAGGTTTGAGTAATGGGTTCATGATAAAGTAACAGTAACTTAAGGGAGGTACGAAACATAGCAACAGCTTAGGAATCACGGAAAAGCTTACAAACAGGAAGGTACAAAACTACAATTATTTCAGTATTTAAAGATTATACTACAAAAATACAAACAACTTTGGATAGGAAAGTTCTTAAAGTTCAACTTTGCTTAATATTTATCTCGTTATATCAGTTACTCACAGTTTGAAACGTTACCACCGAGCTATTTGGACCGCTACGGAACTCTCGTAAGAATAACATATGTACAATTGATCGGTGACTGAGTAGTGGCTATTACAATGCTTGTTTAGCCCTTTTAAGACTGATAGAATTCTATTCATGAAGTTGCAAATTTATCCACCTGGAAGCTTTCGTAACCGTAAAAGTATCCCAAACCCACACAGGGTTATTTTCCAACTTGATCGTAAGATTCGATTAAGTATATATACAACAGACTACCGATATAATGCAAATTTAAATGTTAAACATTATTGTAAAGAGAAGAATGTTCATTAAAATTCTTCATTCAATATATCTTAGCAGCACTCAGGATAATTGTTCGTTTAGTTCAGTTTTTTCTTAAAAAAATACTTAGGTCATTTCTTTGTTAAGTTTTGTAAATTTTTTTACCTATACATCTAATACATTTTTATATTTTAACATTGATATACAAGTAGAAATTATGAAGTTTTATAGCTAAGAGTTAATAGTTTACAGACAATTTTTAAAACAGTTGCTTTGTCTAGACTAGTTTAGATTTGTTTTAATGATTAAGATGTTGAGGTTATTTTCAAGATTCTTCTCAAATATTTTATACTTAGTAACTAGGCCTCATGCCCCCAAATGCCGTGGTACGGCCGAGGGTGGGAGAATTAGCTCTCTCTCGAAATGCTCTCACATAGCCACGCGTATACAGCCACTGCCAGGGAAGTCCTACTCACTGCCTTCCCGTGTTGCGGGTGTTGTTTACAAAATTGAGAGGACGAAAAGCGAATTTCCGGTGCTTTAACCGGGTTGGTGGACACTGAGAGTCCACCTAGGGGAGTGGAAGACCCTGACTCCAAACCGATAGTACATATGGACTCCAGTATCCTGAAGGGACAAATGGTGTATGAACCAATCGTTGGTCACCGGCTGCTATAAGACTGCATCTGCTCCACTGCCTTGTTGATCAGACCTTTAGGTCGAACGCTCTGAGTGTGGCGCCTTAGGAATACCACCTGCTTCAGTTTGGGCATCCGGGCAGTATCACAGCCCTCACACAAATCAAATGAGATTTGTGTGGCACATATGTATTTGGTACTTCCTTGTACCAATATCTATGTGTTCATATAATAATAATAACTAGGCCTCATTGTCATTAATGGTAATATAACGGCCCATATACACTTGAACATGTAAACACTTAATCAAAAATCCATTCATATTGTAAATTCATATTGCAGATTTATAAAAATTGTTATGCAAAGTTATCGAACTTCTTTATGTGTCATCACTGTCATATTGTTCAGATTGTATGTATTAATCTGTGGGCATTTCTATTTATGCATACTTCATTTGTCTTTATCACTCTTCATGTGTTTTCTTACATAAGCTTATTCACACGTAACTAAACATTTTTTGGCTAGTAATAGTCAAATATTATGTTTTATTCATCGATTCATTCATACTATCTGTCTGATAATTCATATGCAGGAAATATACATCCTCAACACTACTCGTATTCAACTTTTTGCTTCTACGTTTTATCAACATGAGTCGCAAATATGTATATATATATATCATTAAAAGGATCTCTTTGACTGATATTATATAAATTGTCCACAACTATTAGATAATTTAATTATTTTTGTTTCATTATTTTGTCATAGTTTGTAGAGGGAAAGATGCTTTCATTATGCATACTAAAAATACATGGCTTGGATTTGTTAATTTACTAAAAGAACAAAATCTTATGCCTGCGATAGCGTTTACATTCTCTCGATCATCCGCTGAAACATTAGCTAAAAATCTATCATCAGTAGACTTAACAAGTAAATGTACGTGATGTGTTGTTGCTGTTTTGCAAGATATTTTTCCGATTATCTTATTCTTTTTGGGGTTTTGAAATCGTTAGAGTTTCCTTTCTTAGTTAGTTTACATTCTTGTTGATAAAGCAATGTAAAGACGTGCTCTGTTTAAAAAAAAACAAGTTGTATTTACACGATACATTTCGGATAATGTGGTCACACATGCATTTGTCAAAGCATTTGTGTGTAAAAACAAGTGGAGGTCAGTTAAACGCTTATAAATAATCGAGAGAGAAAAAATCAATATAATACGGAGCGAGAGTAAATGTTATCACACTATTATTGGCCGTAAAATTGTGTAGAGGATTACCGGCGACGATCTAAGGTTACGACAAATTGTGTTTTATAGACATAGAGAAGGTCTGTATTCGCAAATACCCATGGTTTCTATGAATACCTAGGAATTCATCTTTGACAATTTCGACACAGCGTTTTAAAATCTTTATTGAATGGATTTTAAAGTACTAAAAATTCCTATATTGTGAATTAGAACTACATATATTAGCGAACAATATTTCTTTGAATTAGATCTTCACCAGTCTTTAATACAAAATGCTTATATGCATTTATAAAATTATTATCTGCTTCGGTTTGGGCGCCAGGCCAGTATTCCAGCCCTCATATATATTTGGTGCATCCTTGTACCAATGTTTATGTGTTTAAATAAATGAATGGAATTATTAAACCGATCAAGCCAGCTTATGAGACAATGATAACAGTGGAATAAATTACATCAATAAACATATTCGGTAAAAAGTACAAATTGACAGGTCAATGATAGGTGTACTAATTGTGCTGATAATAATAAAAGCTTGAATCAATGTTTCATAAAAGGAGGTAGGTCAATGACTTGGAAAAGGTAGACACTGAAATAAGATTTACGAAAAATTATCAAAGTTGCATGACAAGAGTACTCAGTTTCACCTCTTACATATAGCAAAAGCTCTAAGGATTCAAGCTAAAAATCCAAATCTTTTTGGTCATAATTAACACCCTTATCTCTTCCTTAGACGAATTAGCCTTAACAATTAATTTTAATTAGTAGTAATGGTATTTTTTTGTGATATGCGATTGAGTACAAATTCGTATTTCTGACGATTCTTGACTTAATGTGGAATCTAGAGTTTGTGTTTCTTTCTAGTTGGGGTTCATAAATTATATGAACTTTGGCATTTGAAGCAAAGGTTCTTTGTTTGACTATTATTGTGAAAGTTAGGTGCATCTATCTCACGGGTCACAAACCGAACGAAATACTTTTTCTGGATTTTATTGTTAGTCAATTACTAAATCTTCCGGAACTTGTAACATGACTCTACATTTCGCGACAATTTTCCCGGATCTGAATATCAACTATAGTCAACTAATAACACTTACCAATTCACATGGTATTTGTATGTATATTCTTTATTTAGCTGAAAAACAACAAATTACGAAGTTTTTCTCTACAATTACTGGTCGCTTAAGAAAATGTGATCGAAAACTTGCTTCAGTTAAATTTCTCCATGATTTAACTAGAAGAGGACTAGCTGTTCATCATAGCGGGATGTTACCTATATTAAAAGAAGTGAGTAATATTTTTGCTGTTTGAATACTTCTATTCTTTTCTGAATTCAATTTCACTGTTGATATTTGTACTCGACGTGGTGAAAAAATTGTAAATGACAAATATAGATTAGAAGTTTTAAGAGCACCTCTGTAAAAAAATGGAAGGAGTTAATAGTAAAGTTCATGATCACGGTAAATCAATATTTAAATGTATCACTTATCCATACACAATGTCGTTCTTCAGTGAGATCATTCTCAATAATCTCGGTACGCATAACTTTCCTAAATCGCTATGTATCATGAAACAATGTATATGTGATATGTACGGTGCTTCACGTTGAGTAAATTTGCTGATTACTTTTGTTCTGTGGGTTAATACACCATTGTTCCAGCTGATAAGTCTGCTACTGGGACGCTTACTACTACCTTCGCAGCCGCTTTCTATAACCCCAAACCACTTTTACACGTCGACTGGACCAATAAAGAAAATATACGAAATATGAGTAGAAGCTTACTTTTAGTTTAGCTAATATGCAGAAAATTAAGGGTAACCTTGAGTCTCTAGAAATTTCTATGTCAGTAAACATGACATGTGTTTCCTCATTTTCTATGTTCTGAGGAGCTTTTATTCAACACTGATTAGATAAAAGATTTTCTGTCGTTTTGTGGGCCTCTAGGCACTTCGACGAGGGATATTTTGAAACTCCCGGACACTAGCTTATATCTAGGTTTGGATTGTTGCTCCGCACAATTTTGTGACTGTACTTACTCTATCAAGTATCGTGTTATGTAGAGGTCATTGATTCAGCTCTCACTCTAATCCGACCGATTAAGTTATTGTGTCTAGTATAGTAATCCAGTATCTAGCGTTCTATCTTGTATCCAGTGTGAGATCCAAAATACAAACCTCGCTTTTTGTCCTAACAGTGTGCTGTTGGTTGGTTCAGTAACTATATAACTATATCGACATCAACCACGATCTTTTTATAAGATTTTCTAGGAGAAAATATAACTTTATTTTGAATAGTTCCTGTGTGTATACCATTCGCAGCATCTTATACATTATTCAAGCCCATATTGTTACCTATCGATCTCCAACTTTTCCAAAATCTAAACTGTTTACTTACATCAAGTAAGATTGATTAAAATATCCATGATCACTTTACTTACATTTGCTTCCTTTTCCTCTGTGTTCTCCTCTCACTTTGCATAATGTCTTGTGTGGCTAATCTTCTCTAATACTACTATTGTCGTCACTATTTCTATCATTGTAGAATATTTCTGTGGTGATATAGTGTGATACACATACATTCCAGGTTGAACAACATAACTAATGTTGATGCTTTTGTACATTTGCGTTGATTCTTTCAATAATAACTACTTTTCTTTATTTGTTAATCATTTATATCCACTAGACGGTGGAACTTTTATTTAGAGCTGGTTTAGTGAAAATTCTTTTTGCTACAGAAACAGTTTCTACAGGAGTTAATACACCTGCACGTTGTGTAGTCTTTACGTCGCTTGAAAAATTTGATGGTCATATTAAACGTTCTTTGGATCCAAGTAAGTATTATAGCGTAATATATAGTCAGGCAGCTTTTTTAAGCGTTATATATATGCATAATTTATGGGACAATAATTAATATCTAATCACTAATATACAACCACTATAGATAAATTAGATTCTCTAACATCTGATTGTATCGTTTCAAGTTTAAATATGCTGTGATAGACGCTGAGGTTATCTATAACATTTCCAATGTTCACTAAATATACCGTTTACTTACTATTTACGCCTGTTACTCCCAGTGGAGCATAGGCCGCTGACCAACATTCTCCAACCCACTCTGTCCTGAGCCTTCCTTTCTAGTTCTATCCAATTGTTCATTCTTCTCATGTCTGTTTCCACTTCTCGGCGTGACGCGTCCTTTGGTCTTCCTCTCCTCCTTTGGCCTTGAGTATTCCAAGTGGGGGCTTGCCTTGTGACGCAGTTGGGTGCTTTCCTCAATGTGTGTCCTATCCACTTCCAGCGCTTCCTGATTTCTCCTCAGCTGGGATCTGGTTTGTTCTCTCCCACAGTAGGTTGTTGCTGATAGTGTCTGGCCAACGGATCCGAAGTATTTTGCGTAGACAGCTGTTAACAAACACTTGTGTCTTCTTTTGATGATGACTTTCGTAGTTCTCCAGGTTACCGCCCCATACAGTAGAACTGTCTTGACATTTGTATTGAAAATTCTGACCTTGGTGTTGGTTGACAATTGTTTTGAGTTCCAGATGTTCCTCAGTTGCAAATACGCTGCTCTTGCTTTGCCGATCCGCGCCTTCACATCTGCATCAGACCCACCATGTTCATCAACGATGCTGCCCAGATATGTGAAGGTTTTTACATCTTCCAAATCTTCTCCGTCAATTGTGATTGGATTGGTGCATGCTGTGTTGTATCGGAGAATCTTGCTTTTCCCTTTGTGTATATTGAGGCCTACTGCTGCTGAGGCTGCTGCTATACTGGTCGTTTTCTCCTGCATTTGTTGTTGCGTGTGCGATAGAAAAGCCAGATAATCTCCGAAGTCTAGATCGTTCAGCTGCATTTTATCTGTCCCCTGTATCCCATGCTTCCCCCTAGATGTTGACATCTTCATGATCCAGTCGATCACCAGGAGAAAGAGAAAGGGTGAGAGTAAGCAACTTTGCCTGACACAGGTCTTTACTTCGAACGAGTCTGTGAGCTGTCCTCCATGCACGACCTTTCAGTTTAATCCATCATAGGAATTCCGTATGACACTGACTATCTTCTCAGGTATGTCGTAGTGTCGAAGAAGCCTCTATAGTGTTGTCCTGTCCACGCTATCAAATGCTTTTTCGTAGTCAATGAAGTTGATGTAGAGTGATGAATTCTATTCAATTGATTGTTCCACAATGATCCGTAGTGTTGCGATTTGGTTTGTATACGATCTATCCTTACGGAATCCAGCCTGTCGGTCTCGAAGTTGGGCGTCTGCGGAGCCCTTCCTTCTGTTTAACAATACCCTGTTGAAGACTTTTCCTGGTATTAAGAGAAGAATGATGCCTCTGTAGTTATGACAGTTGCTGAGATCGCCTTTCTTTGGTGTTTTGATCAGGTATCCTTCTTTCCAATCTGTTGGTACTTGTTCCTCATCCCAAATCTCGCTAAAGAGAATTTGGAGTATCCTTGCAGTTACTGCTATGTCTGCTTTCAGTGCCTCTGCTGGAATGTTGTCTGGTCCTGCTGCTTTGCCACTCTTGATTCGTTTGATAGCCATGATGATTTCTTCAATTGTTGTTGGGCCAACATCGATTGAGAGGACCGTGGGCGCTGCTTCGATGTTGGGTGGGTCCAGTGGGGCTGGTGGATTTGAGTTCTTTGAAGTGTTTTACCTACCTGTTTCGCTGTTCTTCGATGTTGGTGATTACTTTGTCTTCCTTGCTTTTCACTAGTCGTTTTGGTTTACGATAATTTCCAGAGAGTTTCTTTGTTGTATCATACAATTGTCTCATTTTTCCTTTTCTTGCAGCATTTTCCGCCGTCATTGCTGGATCTTCCACATATTTACGTTTGTCGGTTCTGATGCTCCTCTTCACTTGCTTGTTTACTTGTGTGTATTCAGCTTGTGCCTTGGCTTTCTCTGCTCTTGTTCGGCTGGTATTGATTGCTGCATTCTTGGTTCTCTTTTCTTGAATTATATCCAATGTATCAACAGTGATCCATTCCTTGTGATGGTGCTTCTTGTGGCCGAGAACCTCATGACATGTTGAAGTGATTGCCTCTTTCATCCGTTTCCAGTTGCTCTGGATAGTAGTTACGCCTCCACTGAGTAGATCGTGAAAAGCCTGGAACCTATTGCTGAGGGCTATCTTGAATTTGTTGTTTGTCAGTATCCCGAAGAAAGCCCTATTAAACTTTTATGGTGTTGGCCGCCGCGTTGTCCAGTGCATCTTAAGTTTCAATTTCATCTTAGCGACCAGCAAGTGATGACCTGATGTTATATCGGTCCCTCTCTTGGTTCTCACATCCTCCATCATCCTTCTGAAAGTTTTTTGATGCAGATATGGTCGATTTGGTTCTGTGTAGTGTGATCTGGTGAAGTCCATAAAGTATACCGTACACTGTACTTGTCATTTTTTCTGTCCATTTAATTGGTAAGTGGAGTGCTATACATTAAAATTTAAGTTTCATCAAAGATTTCATTTCCAGCCCTTACGTTTGGTATATTTGTGTTTTTTTCATCACACGTACTGAACCGTTCCACACTGGACGCGGTTCATCGCAGTGAAAAATGACTTCACCCAATTGCTGACACTGTTATTTTCATAATGTACCAATTTATTTATCAAACTATTCGTTCAGATTTGGACAAATGATCATATTAATCACGATTCATATGGTCACTATACAAATAAGATAAAATACCAGTGCACATGACAAATAATAAACCATAAAAAGAATGCATAACTAAAATGATTTTTAACACAAAATTGAGTAACGTATTTATAATTAAAAAGATATTTCAACGAGGAAAATTTTCTTGACAGTATCGTTTTCTCAAGCTGTACAGTCGTATTTACAGGTAATTTTTTATATGTAGTAGTTTATAGTAAAGTGGGGGAGTGTTACAAAGTTATCGAAGATAATCAAACTTATCCAAGTGTCGGATATGAAAATCGAAGAAAATGAAGTGGTATTGTATCATATAATCAAGATTATCAGTATAGGGTTGTGTGGATTTTTAAGTTTTAATTTAGATCATGAATCAATCAGTGTTAGACCACCACTGAAAACCTGAATGACCGTTTTGTCCTAGTATGGGACATTGATCGGTTCATGATCCTAATTAAAACCCAACAATCTCCACAACCCTATACTGATGATTATCATATACCCACTAGTGACTAACTTTGTGTGAATCTGTGACCAGTGGGGTTCAACCGTGTTGGGTGTGAGACAGTTATCTACCAAAGAAAATGAAAGATAGTCGTGCAATATCGCGGATTGGTTGAAGTTAGACATCAACACCGTCGGCTCCCAGTTTAGTGGTCTAGAGGTTAATCGTCCATGTGAGACCAAAAGTCCCTCATTAACTTTTTTTAGTGTTTGTTTCAATTGAGCTGATCGTTTTCTTCGCATTTTTTATACCTAGCTGTTTTTACTACTACTATTATTGTTAGTGCTCCTACACTACTCTTTCAATTTGGTTAAAAATCTGCTTACTTTAGTATTATTTAAAGGATATCAACCGCTGAGCTTTTATATTGAATGCATTTAGGAAATTTACATCATTACTTTAATGATCGTTCATATGTATTTTCTGTTTGATTGTATAATATTGCTGTCTGTTATCTATCCTTTTCACCAATTCAATTCGTTCAAAGTTTCATGTTTAATCATTTATTTAAATCAAACTTTAATGATATTTCCATTTATTTCTAGTGTTATTTTCCATAAAATATCATTATTGTTGTTATTATTATTACTATTATTGTTATTAGGTGAATTTACTCAAATGGCTGGTCGAGCAGGTCGTCGTGGTATAGACGCCAAAGGTCTTGTAATTATTTTGGTTAGTACTATTGGTAAATCGTTAAAATCATCTGTCACTGGTCTACCGACTGAGAGTCTTTTGCGAAATATGATACTTGGAAGACAAACAGAATTAATTTCAAGATTCAGGGTCACGTATTCTATGATTTTAAATTTGCATCGATCATCTTCACTAACTCCACAGGTAATTTGCCTCTTAGTAATCCTTGTATTTAACATAAATGCATTCTCTTTAAATCTTTTAGTCCGTTAATAGTGTGTTCTCTGATCTAGATGGTTTAATTCCGGAGCTATCGTTGTCTCCATGGATGGACCACTTCATTAGTGCTTACTGTTTTCACATAAATTAGTGTCACTTAAACCTTTTTGGTATTCTATCATTCTAATGAACTATGTTTTTTGTTTGATTTTCTGTTCAACTAATCTTTAAAATAATAACTTACTGATCCATATTGTCAAGCTGTCGATAAACATGTTTACACCTGTTTTCTGTCAAATCAGTCCTACTAAACCACAACCTTTTAAGGTGTCTAGTTTATGTTTTCGAATTTACCACCTACGTAATAAGGCCAGGTGGCACTGTTTACTTTTAACAGTGAACACAAGTATAGGTTCGGTAACTAGGCCTTTAGTATCATAATCCAAATGTTCAAACTCATGACTTTTCTTCTCCTACCTCTTCCACCATATATGTGTGTTAAGTAAACTACTGTTTACGTGATAAGTGATCAATTATCCGTACGAAATTTCTCACCTGCATTCAGTTTGCCAAATCAATACACTAGATATGCAGCTGAACCTTTTGTATTATTTTACATCGTTTTTAGACTGAATGTCACTTGATGATGATATAGATGTTATACAAGCCCAAAACACACCATAAATCGAAAATGGTAGTTAAATTGAATTTTTTTTAGTTGGAAGTATGAGTAATAGATTTATGACTGTCAGTAATTTAACAATGAAAAAAATAATCATGTACCGTTTAGTGTATCAATATTTGTCTAGTACATTTCACTCGATCCATCGTAAGCGTACAGTTAACTCGACCGGATTTATGTTCTGTGAACAAATATAAATATCTGAACTTTGTCACTCATTGTGAATACAAAATAAGGCCAATAATCATAACTAATTTAAGCTGAGTAGTTCATAAAATCTGTACAGTTTTTGTTATGAAAACACGATAAAAATAACGAATTAGAAATCATGATACACTAAATGGTTGTTTCATTTTAGTTCTAGTCTTTTGCAAAGTGTGCATTCACGTCCATAATGGATATCGAGCTCAGGATCTTTAGGGTTTAAGACAAGTACTTAACCTTTAGACTTCTGCGTTAGCATCCGATGGTTTACACTTTAAATTCAATCAACTGGTGACATTGCAAATCATCTAATGTCGTCAGTTGGTAGTTGTCTCACAGTCAGTATGTTTGAACTATACTACTGGTTACGGCTTCCCAATCTATAACTTCGGAAATTATCCTTCAATTTCTAGTAGACAGAAAACAGATGTCCAGTGCTTCTTAGTTCCCAGCGGTTGCATAACTAAAGTCAGCTCGTAAAGTAAACTATCAAATCCAACAATCTCCACAAACCACACACTAACAATAACGAAATTTAAGATTTACTTTCGTCTACAGAAATGCTAGTTTTCTCAATATTGTTAAGAAAATAAGTGGATCCACTGCAATAATCAAAGCAATGGTGGGGCAGTTGGTGTTGTTACACGTTTACACAATTTACTTTTTGATAGATGAATTATCCTAATCTTTCCAGTCATTTTGTCACATTTATATGGTCATGAGGATGTGTTTACAATGGTACGTATGTGTCCATGTGGTTGGCTGGAAAGCCCTTCTCCATTTTTCACTTGTTGTCTGTTTGAGTAAATCAGTGCATGGAATAAACTCTTCCAACTCAATTCGTGTTTGACTATTGTAACCACCATTGCCCAAATGAGGTTAGCCTAAGTGTGATATGTGTGGTACAACGGAAGATTTATATTTTGTGCTCCATTCATCATCATCCATTATGAAGTCAGATCGTGAGCACCAAAATGATAATAATCTAATAGACTAACATCTTTACTTGTCAATGAGTTGACAAAAGATGTGTTCATAACACTATTGACTTTTATAATAAGATCTTGAGTATTTCCCATTTATGTCCATTACTTACTCATCAGATCATGAGAGATTTCTCATTGCTTTCACTTATTCTTATTTCTTTCAGGACATTATGAAGCGTAGTTTTATGGAAGCAGCAAGTCATCGATGGGAGACTAAACAAAGACAACATTTATCAGTATTAAATAAAAAGTTAAATGAAACTACTAAAATAATTTCACATAATAATAATACTGATAATAATATTAGTAATATTATCATCCAGACATCAACTATTACGATTTCAAAATCCATTGGGGGTACTAGTGATTCGTTTAAATCTCTGATTGATAGTCTTGATGTACAGGTTAAATGTCCACATAATGGAGTTGAATGCTGTGATTCTATAGGTCAATACTATCAAGTTAGTTAAAATGCCGATTTACCAATACATTTTTATTGCTTTTACACATACGATAAACTACGCACTAATTTCTATCAGTTTGATAAGATAATATGTTCGGTTGTACAGCGTTCAGTTCAAACACCAATACACACAAGCTTCTGTATACGCGAGCTCAATAGGTTGCTTCAGTGAGAAAACCAAGATTGAGAAGAAAGTTTTACTGGTATACATGTATAATCATATATATATATATATATATATATATATATATATATATATATATATATATATATACTGTCGAATTCGAATCATTGTTTACAAAGAGTAATTATTAAATAGGATAGTTGGGTAGTGGTTAGCTGTAGAATCCTCGATATGGGCTGGTTGGCAAAGAAATGGTTAATCAGCGTGCTCCAACATAGTCCCGCATGGGAAGTGATTTAATCCAGTCTATGTCCCGCTAACAGAACTCGTTAGCTAGGTACAAGTGGGTCTGAGTGGTAATATATTCGTATTGTGCTACGAACCCGTTATTATAAACACTAAATCGTTATCCATTAGGCGACTGAATCTCTTGTAGTTACAATCAAAATCAAAGCATCCATTCATGAACACACACACCAGCAGTAACTGAACAACAGATTCCTAAATAGCCAACATATTCATTCATAAGCAACATGGAACCTGAGACATGTGCATCGGTTAAAGTTACCATAGTGTATCAGAGTAACGGAGTGGTATAATCAGTAACAATCTCAATCTAATGTAAACTGTACACATATTTGTCTTAGCGTGGTGTGCGCTACTTGTACGGATAGATAGCAGTAGTATGCATCAAGATTTGGAAGTAGAATTCTAAGTGACAGAAGAGGAAAATGTGGGTAACAGAAAGAAAAGGATAAGCAGTCCGAGCAGTAACAGGAATAAAACATCGACGAACCTTGCAAGAGACAATTCAAGGAATGTGTGCAAATGATGTATTCGATGTATTGTTTTCATATATTACAAATGCAGTGTGTGATTTTGCACTGTGCAGTAAATTGGTATAATACCTAAGAATTTGTTCATTACCGAAGTATCAAACATCACGCATAGGCGATATGATTCCAGAAGAAAGAATGAATTTGCAGCATAAAAATTGTAGAATTATTATGGAACTAGGTTTCATGAGGGCTAAAGGGTATGTGCACTTCTGGGACCGATCCTAACCCGTCACTCAGTTTCTAACCATTAACCTTAAGGATTGCTCTTACTCCAATCAAGTGGTTAATTAATCTTCACCTACAAACACGAATAAGTCTAACAGCTAATTACTTCATTAAGTGATGTCACATCTGGGAATTGCCACTTTTAGCCTTTCTCTAGAATCAGTCAGGTGGAAATAGGAGCCCTAATATATAATAGAAAATCAAAGATATGATAAATATTTTCTATGCAAGTTTTCTCAGTTATCGATAAAGTTTAATAATAATAATACTAATACAACTAATACTATTACTAATGGTAATAGTGTAATAATCATACTGCTAACAATAACAAGAATAAATATTTAGTGACGACAGTTATGACTAGTGATAACCGTAGCTTGTAAAACTTTGACAATGTCAATTTTGATTTTCTGTAGACTGTTATGTTTTGCCAAGTATGTTCTAATGTTTTACTTTTGATTAGTAAATTAATTCAGGCTTTTGTTTTGATAGACAGTAGTAGTTTTCTTAGTTGGTTTACCTTTTCACGAGATTTACTGTTCATTACATATGTGCATATAAATGTTTTCAGTGTTGTATGATGAGTGTGTATACACTGTCTAAATGTTTTATTTTGTTACACAGTTGTGTTACAAATATCGTCAACTAACAAATTCAATTATTTCTACACTTGATGTAAAATATGCGCAACGTTTACAGCAAATTTTTTGTCCCGGTCGTTTAATATTACTCCAGTTAATGGTAAACCAGTCTGTTTGGTTAGTACCAGCCGTTATTATAAATTACCATTGGAAAACAAAGAATAATAATGCTGGAAATCAAATAATGGTGCGTAGGTGATTTTTAAAAAAAGTATTTATTTTATATAAGTTTACAAGATGAAAGTAGGTTGGCTAGAAGCCAGCCTAGTTGAACCTAGATGATGATCTTTGGAGAATCGATAACTCACATCTTAGTGCTGATGGCAATCTATCGATCAAATGTTTCCTTGCATCAGATGTATACACAATCGGAACATGATCAAGGATCATCCAGCATCGTTTCGTCTTTTCAACTGCTTTATACTGTATTTGTATTTACTCTATGTTGTCAGTTTATAACTTCACTATTTATAAAAGAAACTGAAACATTCAAATGTTGACAAGATACAAGTTTGTTCGTTATTATGAGGTACACGTCTACTATATACCCATCCTCCAAATAATATAGTACGTTGATTTTCAAACTTTTCCAAAATCCTCGAGTACTTTGTTACATATCGAAGATAACCGTTAAGGTATTGGGGTTTACGGTTGACCTATGGTAACTTCTATTTACAAATGATAAGCGATTCTTCTAATACGACACTATGAATAAAAGTTCGAATAGACTGGAAACACTAACCACACCAATATTTCACATGGTAATACTACATAGAGAAGGTGAGACTTTCAGAATAACTTTATATTCTGAACAGAAGTCAGGAACTGAATAGGAACAACTCCGTTTAAGCAGTAACATACAATGACCGTAGGCCATATAACATTGTTAGCGAACTAGAATTGAAAATAGTTAATCAGTTAACACTGAATGTTATTAAATAAATGTTGTGGTAGTAAAATATCACTAAGGTTGTTCTTTGAAAAAAATGAACTAATGTGTAATAACAAATATTTCGATAACCCGCTCTCTTATGAGCACTTTTTTAGCCAGATAATGTTAAAATCATACGAGTTATTAGCCACTTATCTGCTAGTACGGTGTTTAGTCATGCTTTGGAGAATAGAAAATATGGACAGCTCACCTACAACTTAAATAACCTATGTTTAGGAGTTAGTTTTCTCATTTTAGTCAATTTTCGATAGTATGGTATCAGACAGTACTTTGACCGTTTTTACAGCAAATGGAATATTTAGATGTTTCACACATAACAGGTGGGAACGCCTAACACGTTTATGAAATAACTGAATCGTCTCTATAAATGTTGGATAATTAAGTAGCGGATGGTCCCTTAGGTTTTGAGCTTCGTAATGTCCCTGTCCTTGACTATAAGGAATGTAATTAATATTTAAGATGTACTATCCATTGTACGCAACCTTTCCTTAGCGTAAATTCATTGAGCGAACTGTGATAACCGCACCACAAATAAAATAGATGAAACTCTAACTGAACTAGTGACTGGTCATAGTGATTCTGATTAGTTTTATGATAGAATGGTTAGACTTATTGGTTTAGCTATTAATTATGATGCATATTACGTGATCAAGACGACTGAGTTGTGATCAGCTTTAAAAAATAAACATGAAATAACTGATATATCTTGGATACACGTTTGCATGATATACGTTACTTCATTGTAATTGTTTCATCAGCCTGATGGCAAAACTGGTAAGTTTTATTGATGGTTTATATTTTTCCATCGATGGGTTAGTTAGTTAAGCCGAGGAAGGTTCCCAAATACTACCAAAAGGAGTTATTCCTATGGTGCACCTTCAGTGTACAGTTTAGATATAATAATGAGCTCCACATACGAACTGATGGCATCACTTTGAGTTCACCATTCGCTTCTATTCTAACGGATCTTTTGACGACCAATCTTATGAAAAGAGGACTTCAACAGACGATTGACGGCTTTCAGTTACACAAGAGATATATGTATGACACTTTTATTATTTATGATTAAAACAGTGAACTTAATCTCACCCTCGATAAGTTCAACAATTGTCATCGATTCATCAAATTTACATTGGAATCAGAATCGAATTCAAAATTAACTTTCCCCGGTGTCTTAATAAATAGAAGGCAATGGTACGTTACAAAGGTTAATATTACCGAAAATCCACTTGGAATCGACAGTATACGAATTTTCATAGCTAGGTCACATTCAAGAGAAAAGAAATTATTTCAATATTTATCATCAACGGCTGGACGAATATTCTCGAAAGACACGATTTACAAGGAAACTATCCAACCTTCAACAGATTTTCCGCAGAAATGGTTATTCATTCAGGTTTGTTGAGCGAGAAATGAAACATCAATTACAATCTCCAAGATCTGGGAAAACTCTCTTCATGAGCATAAAGTTTAAAAGAGATCCTGCTTATGAAACTTTGAAGAATCGTCTAACGTAATTCTTCGGGATACTTTTTAGCCCGTCAAGCTTCTCATCCTCTTTTCCAGCCGCATCATTTTTGTATGTGTGAAGAGCAGACTCCCACATTGGGCCACATGAATATGTATTTATAGGTTCACTTTTTTCGTGTGGCGAATTACATTGCCCATACAATCGAACGCTTTCAAATGCATCTCTTAACATTCTCCTTCATGGCTTTCAGATGGCAAATGTAAATCAATTAACAGTTCAATATTCGAACATGTTGTGAGCTCTAGTTAAATGACCTCATCTAATAAGCTCTTTAAAATCATCTATACATTCCAACGATTTGTTTCGAAAAAATCGCAAATTAATATCGTACGCACTGTGGAGACTAGCAATCCACCTTTTTCAAAACTTAAACTCTGTGTGCAAAAGAGACATAAAAGCCATCATTCTTCCATGGCTATAACACTTAATTTTCGTATATGATAATTTGACTTTATTACATTCTTATAATGTTTTCAATCTTCGTAGTTTTGATCGTTCGTTTCTATCACTTTTTTACTTTTAAAATTTTTACACTTTAATTCTGATATTCGTCAAGTGAACAATTATCCTTGGCCCAGTTGGCTTCATCTCATTATCTTTTATTTGACTTTCAACTATTAAACAGCTTTCTTTGACACATGTGATGCAATCGTCCTCCTATTTCTCAATAAACCATATTATTTGTAAATTAACTAGAAGCAGTATATTAATATATATATATATATATATATATATATATGTATATATATATATATATATATATATATATATATATATATATATATATATGAGCAAAATAATACATTAGTCTGGTTGGTGTAATACTTTGTTTTATACATCTATTTTTAATGCCTTTCTCTATCATGTTCTATGTTAAATGCTTTTTGCAAAATATTTATCTAGCTCAATGTTATTCTGTGGGAACTACCTGTTAATTTACCGAATTCGTTGACACTTATCAAAAAACAGGAAGACGGACAGTCCTCATCAGAATTAGCATTAGTAGTATCTGGAAGTGATACTGTCACATCTGAACAAATGAATAATAACAAGAATACTAATTACTATGAATATGATGAAATTGAAGAGGAAATTCTACGTAATTCCATTAATGAAGGTAGAACGACAACAATACCAGTTCCTCCACATTTAATGCCAGTTTTTGTGCCATTTGTAAGTGTTGCTTTGTTTATACTTACTTTCAATTTATTCATAAAAATTCCTTCTGATGATCTTAGTGGATTTGTGCATATATCGCAATGGTATAATGTATAATTTTTAATGTACCCCAATAGTATACCATATTGGATTTTTTCTCTGCTTCATTTTAATTCTTGATCACTACGAAGGACTATTTGATATGACTAAGTATTGTGTAATCTATGTAGTGTAGTTCACTGTCCGATTTCGACACTGATATACTAGTTCAACTGGTTATTGAAGTGAGAACACCGAGAGTGGAAATGCAGTTTTATTGGCTAAACCGAATTACGATATATATATATATGTATCCCTTAGAGATTGAAGCCACATATTCAATAGTGCATGTCTCATTTATGAGAATAGAAAGCCAAATATGGGCCAATAGCATGAACCTATCGTTTGGCTGATGTTTCATTGACAAAGTGTATCAATTTGTTAATCCCGTTGGATCATAATATTCGCTATTATATACTGATAAAAAATTTCATGCTCTTAAAGTAATGTAATCTTATTAATCCAAAAATGTGAAATGAAGTATTAAAATAAAGGCTTTTAGGAAGATGGAACCCGATCAGTTCTAATTACAAACGGTATTGTATAGTTTTGTTTCAAAGAAAATTTAGACTTAACACCTTTTTAAATTGTAATCTTCATTTGAAATAAAGTAGTGTCGTATTACATCAGATGTAGACATTATTATTATTATCATTTTCATATTTACATTTTTATTCATTTAGTCATTATGCGATGGATATTCACGTTTAACACGTCAATCAGTTCCGTTAAGTGATTCGCTTGTGAGAATCTGCGATCAAATTGTTACCTTCCAAGATATGAGATACAATCTAGTTGATAATGATAATTCGAAATTACCTTTGAGTACTTCAGAACTTTTATTACAAAGCATTAAACAACTAATTAATATTCGGCGAAAAGATGATACTAAATTGTTATCTGTCGATGTCAATGATCATCAGCTTGATCAACATTTACAAGTTATTAATTTGGCACTTTTTAATTGTGTAAATTCAATAGTACCACAAGAATCAGCATTAACATCTGCGGTTTACTATCCTACTCTAAGAAATACACCAAAACAAATGGACTTTAAAATGGATTTAAACCTTGTAATGGATGACGAGGTGAATGACCCTTTTTTTAAAAAAAAGTTTGCTTTTTTCCTTCAATATGTTTCAGAAATTAAAATTATTGTATACGATTTACTAGTCGCAGTAGTAAGAATTTGAATTCTACTATCGTTAATATTCTTTACCGGATTTTAATCCATCCTGAACATAATAATTAAACCCTTTATTAAAAATATTATGCAACATTATACCTTCCTAATAAAACTGGTAGCTATCTAAACTTAGGGTAGCTAGCTCAGTGGATTGCTCATTACAATTTAAAAGGTACTAAATTCGACTCTAAATTTGTATCTAGATGAAGAGTCCTAAATAAAGTAAAACATGCCTTCTAGGTTCCACTGCTAATGAAATATTCGTCTGTTTTAAATAACTTATGTGTTGTTGTGGTTAGTATTCAATATAATCCTTAAACTTCGTATACAGTTCGTCCCGATAACCGTCACTAGATAACGCCCCAACTGTGTATTAATCAGAAGGCGAATACGACGTGTTGAGTAAGTTTATTATTGCACCACGTACAGATCACCAAAATTACAGGTACGCTAAGCAAGCATAAAAGAGTAGTGCCGAAAAGTAAGCGGCCAAGCGAATGAGTGAACGGGATTAAAATGTACATATATATATATATATATATATATATATATATATATATATATATATATATATATATAATGAAATGAATGAACCATCGAATCAATTAAGCTCAAGCATGCATATTCATACAAGTGCTACAATAACAAAGGTACGATGGTATAGATAAGTTGTTATTGTACGAATGACTCTGTCCGTTAAAAAAATTAACAAATGGGCTTAAGTAAATGAAGTATGAACAAATTCAATTGCACGTGGGCTGCTATAATAGTTCCCCCAGCAAACAAAGATACAAAACAGTGTCTGTGTTTGCGAAAAAATGTTAAGTCTAATAGGACAGTAAATATCGAAATTTACTAAATTAAGATGTATGATAGAGCTATCGTGTAAGTTATTACAAATACGTGTAGACTTGAGTTCGTATACGTCCGTGAGTACAAATAAGATAATAACGGAAGATCGAAAGATTACAGTAGTGCTTTTAAAAGTTTATACACGTCGACATCAGAATATACAAAATATGTCGAATATAATAATATATAAGTTAAAATGCTCGATGTGCTCATACAAAACGAAGATAAAAGAAATTTACATCTGAATAGGTGAACGGAATTATTAATTCAAAATGGTAGCTATGTATCGTTGCGGCATCTCACTCTTCGACCATATCTTGTCGTTACTGGATTCTCTCCGTTTTACTTCGTCGATGTCGTTGATGATTGAAACTCACGTTTCGGTAATTCGTCTCAGTGGCTTCGGAATAAACGCTCGTGGTTGGCCCGTAGAAATATCACACGTGATGCTTACTTTTTCGAATAGAGTTTCTTTTAGTGTCAAAGAGGTTGTGTTGGCAGACCTTAGTCTGTTTAGCTCAACATCTATATTTTGCAATGCTGCTAATTTGTGATGATAGATTTCAAATTAGATGAAAGCGTTTATCATCGTTCTGGACGACACATCTGCCACTTCGTTATTATTGCTTTTAATCTATTGTATGTTAGACGTAAATTGGGAAATAAATTCTAATTGTCGAATTTCCCTCGACGATTAGTTATCCTGCTTGGCGTTCAATACTTTCGTGAGGGGTTTATGATATGTATACACTATGAAAATTGTACCATCTATCATATGTCCGAAATGCTTCATTGCCAAGTAAAAAAGGGCTGCACGTGATCTTCTATAGTGTGCAATAACTTTATTGACCAAATCACACTTCCTAGTTAACTGTTGAGTTACATTAGCGTTACAGATAATAGGAAACCTCACCAATACTTTGTTTAGAAAAAAATAGATTAGAAATTTCAATGAACTGATACCATGTATGATTCCTCTAACTATTCAGTTTTATTATTACTGTACTGTTGAACAACTTATAAAAATGGGAGATAACATAAATTCACTCACAAGTAAGTAGGAAACTTTAAATATCACGAGAAATAATTTTGTATCATGTTAGTATTTGGATGTTATTACATCACCAAGATCTAATAAACACAATTCACTTTGTTATTAACATCCCGTGAAATGCTTTCAAATGTTTTTCTTTAACTAGATTGCTAAAATACTAGGTTTGTCAAATGTTTCTAGAAAATATTTTTTATTCTATTTGCAGTATACGTGCTTTTAACGCATTTGAAATGAAAATCTATTTGACACCGTGTTGTCTAAAATATTTCTTCTTTGGAACCATAATGTTTAGACGAGCGCATAACAATATTTCTACAAACCTCATTTTTCTTGGTATTTAAATTCAAAGTATGGTATCTACTTACCTATGTTTGTTACTCATCTTTGAGCAGCATAGGCCACCGACCAGGATTCTCCAACGAATTCTGTCCTGGGCTCTGCTTTCCAGTTGTTTCCAATTGCTGTTCATTCTTTTGATGATATCTAACTCCGATAAAATTCACCTGTTAGGTTAAAAGCAATGATCTTCATTATTTGAGAAAAGCCTTTCCGGTACAACTTAGTTTAGTAGGATGTTTGCCTATGTTAATTGATTATAGACCAGTTGATCAAATGTAGTGTTTTCTTTAAAATATTGCAGTTAAATCATTCGAAGAACTCCGAGTTCTCAAGATGGCTTAATACCACTGTGCTCCGAGGTAATAAAAACGTCCCACGATCACTTCGTTAATTTCGGTCTCAAACTAATGTAATGAATCAGATAAGATTTTGACGTGTTTAATTATATGTAACCAATATTACTGATATGAATGTGTTTGGATTGCATTTCATTTTTTAACCATATATTTAAAATCAATTTTAACACTGAGGTTTTGATTGTGGATTAGTTCAAATAAAGCAAACTTTTTTCAAGTGACGAGAACCATCTTTCTTTCAGTGTTCAATAAAATTTCAATATTTAGCATCGTCGAGCATTTTATTCAGTCTGTGGTACATATAAAAATGTAATTTGCCCTGAGGATCTTATTTCACTCATCCAAAGCTATCTACATGTAGTATCCATTCAAAAGGGCTCGTATTAATAAGGGCGACCAGCGAGACATTTTAATATATGTCTCATTGTTAAAACGTTCAAAGGTCTCACCTATTATTCGAATTTGTCTAAACTAAATTTGAGACATTGTTGTTTCGGAGAGTCCGATGGCTTAAACAATGTTTCCTTTAGGCCCAGACAATTATGTGCGTGATAAGTTTTGTTTTACTAATTTGTAACATTCATATCCAATTCATATTCACACCATCGATTTGTTATTAATGTGGGCGTAAGCGCACACAGTTAAATAAAACACCTAAACAGCTATGAGAGTTATCTATATATACAAGTATATTCAGGGATTTCCATTTCTTAATTGGTGCATACTTGTCACTTTTGTGGCTTATTGTCTTTATGTTAAAACTACCTTGGAATGTATATTTATTTATTTATTTATTTATTTATTTATTTATTTATACACATAAATATTTGTACAAGAGTGCGCCAAATATATATGCGCCGCTCTGGCTTTCACTATACGTGCATTGATCTCATCACTCGCACCACCACCAGCACTTATACAGCTACCTAGATACACGAACTTCTCGACTACTTCTATCTGTTCACCATCCAGAGTGAGTACAGAATTAGAATCCTGCCAGTCTTGTAGAAGTACTATGCACTTCGAAGGTGCAAAGCACATACCATACCTACGGACATTGCTTGCCAAGTGATTAAGTATGGGTTGTATGGCTTGGACATTATCGCACAGTAAGACAATATCGTCCGTATACTCAAGGTCGAGAAGTCTTTCTCCAGGCAACAGATCCACGCTGTCATTACTTACATCCATCAGAGCTGTTTCCAGAATGTCATCGATGGCAAAGTTGAAGAGGAATGGTGGGATTAGGCAACCCTTCCTAACCCCACTGCTTGAATGGAACAATAGAGAAAGATGGTTGTATGCCCTCACTCTGCCTGAGGTGTTTGTATATAAGGGCACACCCTTCTTCCATGGACAATCCCAGAGAACAGTCCTGTCCAATGAATCGAAGACTTCCAAGATAAGTGCAGTTGTCGACGCGTTCGAATACTTCACTCCCTATCCTTAGTTCAGGCGTTGCCGCAGACCAGTCCTGAAGCAACAACTTGCATTTAGAAGAGGAAACGCATCCCAAACATTCTGGCGTTGTTACTCAGTGCTACCAAAAGACTGCATTTTATCAGCGTCTTCACCAAACAGGACTATATCATCTGCGTTTTCTAAGTCGGATAAGTGGACCTCCTGGTAGGAGATCAATACACGAAAATTCAGTCGACGATAACGTTGTTGAACAAAATGGAGGTGGTGAACAACCTTGACGGAAACCACGTGAAGTTGCAAAATCAGGTGACAGTTCGCCATATTCATTAAATTATTCATTTACTTGAACACGCAAATATTGTTACAAGGGGGCACCAGATATATTTGCGCCAAACAAAACAATGAGAATGGGAAGAAAACAAGAACGTAAGTTATGTATAAGAAAAAAAATGAGAGAACAATGACGTCCACAGATTAATGTATGACAGTGTAATAATAATAGGGGAAACAGAAAGATACAATCAGAAATAATTCTTTTAGTTAAGGATGTCACAACCACTTTTTGTGAAAAAAGTAAAAGGTTACAGCAGGATCGCCATATCTGATAACGTCTCTAGCCCCTGTGTAGCACCATCTCTCGGACCCCAACCAGAGAGTCGTGAAGGACCGACACAAGCCAGTCCTTTGCAGCTTTCTTTCATACCACGACACCATGTCATATACTGACCACCTCTCCACTTTTTCCAACCAGTCCCAGAGTCGGCAAATAATGCACGATGTGGAATTCTCTGGGACGACATTCGTAGAACATGTCCAAGCCACTAAAGTCGGTGTTTGATGATGGTGACACCAATTGCATTATCGTCTCTGTGCCCGAAC